GTGTGTCTGGCTCAGCTGCTGCAAAAACTGCCCCTCAGCACACAGCTTGCACTGCTTGGGCTGTCTCTCAGCTCTCAGCTGCTGCAAAAACTGCCCCTCCGCACACAGCTTGCTTTGCTTGGGCTGTCTCTCAGCTCCCTGTTTTTGCAGGATTTCTTCACACAGCTTGTACTCCTATTTCAGCTCTCTGTCTTTGCAGGACCTCTTCTGCACACAGCTTGTTTGCTCAGAGAGAGCCAGAACAATCCCAGCTCACAGGGAGGATGGGGCCTGGCCTCTCCTCTTCCTCACTGGCCTATCCAACCTGTCAATCAGGCTGAGCTGGAGTGTTGGCTGCTTTCCATTGTCTCTGGGGTCTGTCAGCCTCCTGAACCCTTCCCCCTCTGAAAGTGGGAGCTGGCAAACCAAAAAACTCCCACAGAGTTTTAGTAAGGCGTAACAGTCCCCTTACACAAAAACAGCTTCCACCAGCCTGTGGAGCCTTCACGATTATCAGGCCAGAACCAAACTTGGGACCTCTGGAGCACGGAGCACAAACCTCGCCCGCTTGAGCTAAAAGGCAGCTCCCTCTCAGCTAGGGCTACAGCACAAACTCATTCTTTCCCTCTGTAAGTGGACTAAGCACCCCTACATGGGACAGTGAATCCAACCCAGCAGGTATGTGAGTTTCCTATGCAACCTTCTGGGAGCAGTGCCTTATGTAGGCGGGGCTTAATGTGTGGGTGGGGCTTGGGAAAGTGCCGCCTCCTTTTTCTCTTTTCCCCTAATTCCATAGACCATTTTAAATCTCCTGAGTATGGTTTGCCGGCACCTTTGAGATCCCTGGATAGCAAGAACCCCCAGTGCCAACATCAAGCTGGCTTCCAGAACCACAGGCACCTAACCCGGGAGGAGATGCCGGAGAAGCCGGAGCAGGAGAAATCCCTTTGCCCCTCCCCTGAACAAGCCCATCTGGCATCTCCTCTAGCCCATGGAGCCAAAATTATTGTTCAGTTCAATAGCAAAAGCCAAGTTCTGTTAAGGCCACATCGCCAGGGGCTGTCACTAACTTATCATGTGCCGAGGGGGTTCATCAGCTGTGCTGGAGGAAGCAGCCTCATGACACACCCGGCCTTATCTTAGGCTCCGTCTAGACTGCATCCCTCTGCAGATAGAAGGATGCAAATCAAGCACTTTAAAAGTCAAATGAGCCCGGGATTTAAATATCCTGGGCTTCATTTGCATACTCACGTTCAGGCGCTGTGCTGATCAAGCGTCCTTTCGAAAGCGAAAGTAAAGTCTAGCCACGGTTCTGCCGACAGTGGGGAGCTTTTCTGAAAGATGCTGTGCTCCTCAAAAAACACATCGGCGCCTGGGTCGCAGAAGTGGGAGCTGCCCACCAATGAGCCAGAGAGTTGAAAGACAAGGAAAGGCTTGGACAGGTCCCCCTGCCCCAGGCACTGTGAAATGCTGTTCCAGAAACAAACACAAGGAGGAAGGTACAAGAGAGGAGGATCCGGCTCATACTGAGAAGATATGGCAATCAGTAAGTTATCTCAGGCATCTGTACAGGAATGCAAGAAGCCTGGGAAACAAGCAGGAAGAATTAGAAGTCCTGGCACAGTCAAAGAACTATGATTTGACGGGAATATTGGAGACTTGGTGGGATGACTCACATGAATGGAACCTTACCAAGGAAGGGTATAAACTGTTCAAGAAGGACAGGCAGGGGAGAAAAGGCGGAGGACTTGCACTGCATATAAGAGAGCAGTATGATTGCTCAGAGCTCCAGTATAAAGTGGAAGAAAAGCCTATTGAGAGCCTATGGGTTAAGTTTAGAGGCGGGAGCAACAGGGGGTGATGTCATGGTTCGTGTCTGCAATAGACCACCCGATCAGGTGCATGAGGCAGACCAGCCTTTCTTTTGACTACTAACAGAAGCTTCCAGATCACAGTCCCTTGTTCTCATGGAGGACTTTAATTGCCCTGACATCGGTTGGGAGACCAACAGAGAAGTACGCAGACAATCCAGGAAGTATGTGGAGAATGCAGGGGTAAACTTCCTGGTACAAGTGCAGAAGGAATCAACTAGGGGCTATGCGCAGCCTGATCTGCTTGTCACGAATCAGGGAGGAATTAGCAGAAGAAGTAGATGTGGGTGGCAACCTGGGCAGCAGTGATCATGGGATGGTCAATTTCAGGATCCTGACTGAAGGAAGAAAGGAAAGTACAGCCCCTGGACTTCAGAAAAGCAGACTTTGACTTCCACAGAGAACTGAAGGGCAGGATCTCCTGGGATGCTAACATGAAGGGGAAAGGAATCCAGGAGAGCTGGTTGTATTTTAAAGAAGCCTTAAAGGCAGGAGGAAAACATCCCGATGAGCTTTCACGCAAAAAGGAAGCTTAGATGAAGTAGAAACTTGGACAGATGACTAGGGAGGAGTATAGGAGTATAAATATATTGCTGGAGAATGCAGGGGAGCAATCAGGAAGGCAAAAGTGTAATTGGAATTGCAGCTGGCAAGCCATGTAAAGGGTAACAAGACAGGTTTCTACAGGCATGTGAGCACTAAGAGGGTGGTCAGGGGAGGTGTGGGTCCCTTACTGCATGAGGATGGTACCTTAATGACAAAGAATGTGGGAAAAGCTGAAGTACTCATTAAGAATACAGGAACATAAGAACATAAGCCCAGTATCCTATCGTCTGATAGTGACTGATGCTAGATGCCCCAGAGAGAATGAATAGAACAGGTTATCAAGTGGCTCTCCTGCTGTCATTCATTTCCAGCCCCTGACAAAGAGAGGCTAGGGACACCATTCCTACCCTTTCTGTCTAATAAGAATTGATGGACTTAACCTCAATTAATGTATCTAGTTCTTTTTTGAACCCTGTGATGGGCCTGGTTTTCACAACATCCTCTGGCAAGGAGTTCCACAGGTTGACTGTGTGCTGCATGAAGAAAAAAAGCCTTTTGTTTATTTTAAATCTACTAACTATTAATGTCTTAATGTTTTTTTGCCTCTGTCTTCACAGACAAGGTCAGTTCCCACACTACTGCACTAGGCGGATTAGGTAGCCAGCAATCAGTGGAGAAAGAACAGGTTAAGAATTATTGAGGAAAGATGGACAGACACAATCCATGGGGCTGGATCTAATGCATGTGAGGGTGCTGATGGAGTTGGCAGATGTTATTGCAGAGTCATTGGCCATTAGCTTTTAAAATTCGTATTGATTGAGGAAAGTCTGGGACAATTGGAAAAAGGCAAATGTAGTGCCCATCTTTAAAAAAGGGAAGAAGGACAATCCAGGAGACTACAGATTTGTCAGCCTCGCCTCATTCCAGGAAAAATCATAGAAGGGATCCCCAAGGAATCCATTTTGAAGCACTTGGAAGAGAGGAAAGTGATCGGGAAGAGTCAACATGGATTCACCAAAGGCAAGTGATGCCTGACCAACCTGACTGCCTTCTATGACAACCTAACTGCTTCTGTGGATATGGGGAAGGTGGTGGATTTCCTATACCTTGATTTTAGCAAAGCTTTTGATGCGGTCTCCTGCGATATTCTTGCTAGCAAGTTACGGAATGGATTGGATAAATGGACTGTAAGGTGGCTAGAAAGCTGTCTAGATTGTTGGGCTCAATAGGGGGTGATCAATGGCTCGATGTCTCTTTGGAGGTTGGTATCAAGCAGAGTGCCCAAGGGTCAGTTCTAGGGCCGGTTTCGTTCTACCTTTTATTAATGACCTGGATGAGGAGATGGATTTTACCTTCACCAAGTTTGCGGATGACACTAAGCTGGAGGAAGAGGCAGACACGCTATAGGGTAGGGATAAGGTCCAGAGTGACCCAGACAAGTTGGAGGATTGGGCGTAAATGGGAAGCGACTCTCTAGGAAGGAGTCCTGCTG